GCCGAGGGCCGAGCGGAGCGAGGCTCGAGGCGAAGATGAATATCCGTCGCGGCGCGGCGCGAAGCGCCGCGACGGGACGGGAGGGCATTGTCGGTGGCTTGTCCCTCCTTGTCCCCTGTGTGCGAAAATCGCAAGCTTAAGGCCTTTAGAGAAGAGCTCTCTAGACCGGTGTATTCGGCGATCTATTAGCAATGTAATAAGCGCTACAAGCTGTCTATTCGAATACATATATACAAGTTTGGACTCAAGGCAAGCCCTACGAGCATCACTGCCTCCAGTGAGTCATCGCCTCGTTCGGTGGCACAACGAGCCGTGCCCGTCCCCAAACCTCCTCCCGTCCCGTCGCGGCGCTTCGCGCCGCGCCGCGACGGATATTCATCTTCGCCTCGAGCCTCGCTCCGCTCGGCCCTCGGCTCAGAAAACCACGCGCGGGCGCTTCGCGCCCGCGCAACTATGTTCGGCGCGCTTCGCGCGCCTCACCCTCCCTCAGGATAAGGAGGGACAGGGCGACATAGTACTCACCGCCTCGGCGTAACCTCCCCGAGGGAAACTCAAGAAACCGGCGAATATCGCCAGCAAACGCCTCATCAATTGATGGGCAGAGGTTCGCATCAGTCCCGAGCGGCGGGCGGCCTTTGTTTACAAGTGTTTTGTGCCAGCCGCCGGTGAGAGAGACGCGCCCATCTTTCTTCAACTTCGCTCAATTTGGACTAATTCGATTGATTTGATTAGATCACCCCATCTTATCCTCCCCCCACCACCCTAGAGAGCGAAAGCATCTCTCGAACCGGCGGCTGGGTAGGAGACTGATACACGACAAGCTCTGAGAGCTCGCGCTCATCACACGGTTCATCTGAGCTCATTCCGCGTCGGCGACGACGATTCTCCAACATCCTCAGGGGCCGTCTCGAGCTTCTCGCGCTTGGTAACACGGATCGGACGCGACTGGGATGATCTGCCGATAGAAAAGGTGAGTCTGGTTGGTTGGACCCCGTTACATTCTATAACTTAACTCTGCTCGAAGGAGAAGGATGGCGAAGTGGGACTGTGACATTGCGAGTTCCGGAATAGTATCAAAAACGCGACCGCGAACGTGCCCATGTACTCTACACAGCACTGGATAGGGAAGCTATGCGTGCCATGTCGATTCGTCTCACTAGCAGTGCCACAGTGAATAAATGGGACCCATCACTCAGATTTGGGAGCAAGTTATTCAAACTATTCCGCGACCGGTTGGGCTACAACTATGCCCATGCAAGTTATGTAGCGTACACGGTCTGCCGCACACACGAATTCCAGTGACTGAAAGCGCGAAAAAATAGAATGCCAGAACCGTGGATTGAACACGGGACCTCCAGAACTTCAGTCTGTTGCTCTCCCAGCTGAGCTATTCCGGCCTTATGTGAGCCAAAGTATTTATATATATAAGGTTAATAGCAGAGTCCTGTGCCTCATGTCGAGTGTTTCGCTCTCCCAAACTCAGCCTCGCCCATGTGACATATATGTTCGCATGGATAATAAGTCAATTATGCATGAAACTATGCTACAAATGGTGTGACAATAGGAGATGGATGGTGGAATAAATGTATGCAGGGAGGGATATCCAGATTGCCACTGATGTAAGTCCGTTTGAGCGATGAATACAGAACTACAGCTGACCACGCTCGCGCAGGATGACTGTGCGTAGGCGGCGCAGAGCCTCGTCGATGTCACACTCCTCTAGCAAACTGAAAGATGCGCGTACATATCCCGTCTTCCCGCCCTTGGAGAAAAACGGAGATCCTGGGAGCGCGAGAACGCCCTCATCGCAAGCCTTCTTCCCGATGATATCAAGGGCGTCCGGCTCCTCGTTATCACCGAGCAGGATCTTGAACCAGACAAACATGCCTGACTCGGGGGTAGTCCACTCTACCAGGCCATCCAGATGGCGACGGAGAGCAATCTCAAATGCATCGCGTTTCTGGCGGTAGAACTCGGCGACGTTGCGTGTATGCGCCATGAAGCCTTCGTAGCCCCATGCTTCGAGCAGCGTCAAGACGACGCACTGCGCGAAGGAAGACGTCTGGAGGTTTGAAACGCCGGTCTGTGGAATGCCGTGAGCATAAGGCCACATCATAGATTGCAGAAGGCACGCACGTAAGCGTCAATAGCATCCACAATAGGTTTCGGGCCCGTAACGAAGCCAATGCGAAGACCAGCGGACAAGATCTTGCTCAAGCTATCGAAGCGCACAACGCGGCCGACGTCGCCAGTCTCAGCCTCAAGCGTGAAATAGGATGGTGGGCGAGGCGCAGAGCCGAAGTAGATGTAGTAGTATGGGTCATCTGAACATTCCGTCAGTTACGTACTGAAATGAGGCAGTGGGCGCTTACCCTCAAGGATCATGAAGTTGTGCTCTCGCGCAAGCTTGAGCACCTCCAGCCGGCGCTCAAGAGAGTGCGTCATTCCGGTGGGGTTTGAGCCGTACTGAGTGTGACATTAGTGTCAAGCACAGCAGAAGTACGCGAAAATATGCCTACTGGGACAGTGTAGAATGCCTTCGGCTTGGGCTTTCCGGCAGGCCAGCTCTCAAGCAATTGCCTTAAGCTGTCAGTGCTCACACCCTGCTCGTCCGTGTCGACATCATGCATCTCGCAGCCAATGGTATCCAAGATTGACAATGCGCCGCTGCACCGACCGGTCAACGTTGTGTCATAGAGCTGCTCAGTGATCGACTCACGTATAGCAAGGCTTCTCGACGATGACCGAGTCGCCAGGGTTGAACATGCAGCGGACAGCTTTGTAGATGGCGTCCTGCGAACCGACAGTCGAGCTTACTCGCCACCCCTCGGTCCTCGAGCGGTGGTGTGCGCGCTCTTGAAGCACAGTGAGGATCTCGATGAAGTGCGGCATGCCATCGGTTTGAGAGTACTGAAGACCCTCGGCGAGGACTGCCTCGTCGACTGCGACAGTGACGTCGCGAGAAGGGTCCCTGGGATCCGCCGTGTCGAAGCGTAGTTGCTTGAACGGGAACATGGATCCGTTGGGCTTGCCGGCGAGCATGGAAATCATGCCCGGACGGCGCTCCATGGGGAAGAGTGCGCGGACTGCGAAGTGGCGCGTAAGTAACAGCACGAAGGGTACAGCAATACATGAGACATACTAGCATTAGGCTTGCTGGTGCGCTTTTTGGCGAAGTCCGAGATAAACTCGTCGTAGTGTTCCGCCGGGAGAGGAGTCACGATCGGTTTGGCGACGACCTGGAGAAGAAGGTTATGACTCGTCCGGCTTCTCTGAACACGGTGCCACAAACCTTCACGACGTTCTTCGCAGGCAGGGCGGAGCCGGTCGCGCCCAAAGTAGATGTCTCGATAGCCATTGTATAAGGAAGACTCAGAAGTGACAGAATATGTGATGTGGAATAGCTCGAGAAGCGCAAAGGGCGCAGGCCAGTGATGCTAAGCGGGGCTCGTCTAGAGTGCGGCGAAGCGGCGAAGGTGATAGGCCGCCTCCGCCTGTGCTTATATGCGCAAGCCGGAAGAGAGCCAGCGTCAGCGACGATACGCTGACACGCACCAGCGGCTTTACCCCAGACCCGGCCGGTGGTTCGTAACTGACGGAATGGATCTCGCTGCGCGAGAGATAGGTACAACGGCCGTAAACCGTTGATGGAGACTGCTGGACGGCCTGATCTAATAGCTTACGTAGTCAGCATAGATCGGGACTGAACTTACAGAAGGAGGTGCACGTTTGAAGTAGGTAAGTACGTTGTGGGAGCGAGGCTCTGTTACATATACGTCTTGAGTGCGCACGGGATTTGCAGGGGTGTTGTCAACCTGTAAAGCTGTGGCGCACAACTGTATGTGCCGTCAATGTGTCTCTCTCCGTTCAGTACCCCGCATTCAGAATATTCTGCTGGACCGGTGTTCCGACCGGAAGCAGATTAGACGCGAAAGGTCCGTAGCGGCCAAGCCACGGTAAACTCCTACGGTTGCCTTTCTGTGCAGCTACAGCAGAAGATGGCTGCCCGTGAAGCTCCTGTTTGGAGCTTAGAGAGATGTTGGGCGCGACGTGTACGAGAGAGCGTGGGCGCTGCTCACGTACTCTGCACGCGAAACTCTAGGCGCAACAGAACGACGACCACCACCGCAGTGACCGCCAGCGCAGGCACAGATATGGTTTGTTTGTAGATCCGGCCGAGGGTAAATCTAAGCAATGCTGCAAAGATCTTCGATACCGCATGCTGACGTCTCTGCGTTCATTGTTCTCGTCGGATTTTCCTTCGGTACGGGTCGCGCTGACCCGCATTGGCCAATCTGTGTTCCGCCGGCGATCCTGACGTTTAGCCGCCCGTCAGCTGTGCAGTTCAAAAGTCCGTCAGATACAGTTCAGATACGACAATCTGCATACCTTCGGTAAAGTTGGTGGGGCAACGCCACAAAGGTTGACTCCGGTATGATCCTGCGCGCTGGGCGCCAATCTCCGTCCAGAGCCTTCGATTGATGCTGCGAAAGTCTCCGCCGTATGCCGAAAGCGAAGGGTATTCCTACAGTATACATCGCATTGCGCGGCGGTCTTCAACAGAATGACGAAGGATGGGCAATCGTGAGGCGCATATATCCATCAAAATACACGTATAGGGTAGGCTTGCACAGTGACCACCTGATTGAAGGACATCGCACGCCACCCCGCGCGCCGTTTCTGAGCACTGGATGGTAGTAAATGGCGAGAAATGAGCAAGCGGTACATCTGCGCATTCACTAGGGAAGAAAAACGTACGCAACGGGGATAATCGCCCTTGACGCCAGGAGAACGTAGGGCACAAGCCGCGGTGGGCCGCCCGTGCCAGATCAACCCAGGTCGAACGCCACATCGCGCGCCGCTCTTGAGCGCGCCGGTTAGGGATAAGCAAGCAGTATATTTGACATTCGGCAAGACCAAGAGCCCTTCCGGCTGTGTGGCCCTGCTCCGAGACGTAAAGTATGTACAGCGACACGATACGCGATCAAGAACATGGACAGCAAGAAAGGGCTCAAGGAATGTGCGGGTTTGTATGAGACGTGAAAACGATGCCGACGCGTTTATGGACATGGGCGAGATTTGGTGGGGACGTCGGCGGGATATGGACAGGGTGTCAAATGAAGGAAGACGAAGCGTCTGTGGATTGGTACGGGAAGGAGACGATGGGAGCACTGAATACATAGTGATACAAATGTGGTGGGTGTCGTCGCGGATTTCGTGAGGTGGCACAGTGGGGTATGGACTATGCACATCGTGAGCGGACAGAGAAGGGTGAAGGTAGGCATGGACAGCTGCGTTGCCGTCAGAGCGAAGAAGACGTCGGGCGGCGTAGCGCAACGAAGGGTGGTAGACATGGGGAGGGGGCAAAGCATGGAAAGTGGAGCGGGGGTTGTAGAAGGTGAAGGTGAGCATGGATGCAAGGGTATCGATGCGTTGTTGGGAATAATCGAAGAGTGATGTAAAGTCGGAGCGGGGTGTACGAGTACACGCTGGCCACCTAGCGCAGCGAATAGAAGCCGTGAGCCGTAGAGTATGCCGGAAGTGAACATAGAGCACAGATAATCCAAGGGAAAGGCGCTGAAGGATCCGCCGGGCGATCATGTCGGCCAATTCCTCACGACCCTCGCCGCACCTCCACCTAACCTTCCAAGGAAGCTCCAGACGGTAGCGGTCCCATCGTTGACGAAGCCCTCCGCATTCCCGGGCATCGCATTAAAGCTCTGCCACGCAACCCTGTCGTAGTATGTCGGTCCACCGGGAACGGCACCGTGATACGGTACGAGGAAGGGGCTCATGACAGCGAACATGACCGCGCTCGCGAGACCAGCCACGAGCAGCTGCGACAACCAAGGATGCGTGGGCGATCCATCAGACGAGTCGTACACATAGGTGTTGTAGATGTTGTAGAACCGCGAGCGGCGGGGCGAGGTCGGCTTGCGCGCGGCGATGTGCGAAGACGCGAGAGCCTTGTCGATGACAGTGCAGCTCAAACCAAGCTCCTGCTTGAGCGTCTCCCATTCCGCGGCGGCTTCGGCGGATACTTCGGCTCCGTTTGCGCGCAAGGGGAGCTGAAGACCCTTATGGTATCGACGCAAAGCCTCGGCGGCGGCTGTGAGCTCACGGCGGGCATCTGGGTCCGTGACATGCGCAAAGGACGGGTCGGCGGCCTCCAGAAGGTGCTCGAGGTTGTGGACGGCGTCCGTGTACGAGGGAGGGAGGTCGGCTGTGAGATGATCGACCTTGGGCTTCGGCGTCGGAGGAATGACGGTCGAGGAAGACGATGCGAGAGCTTCATCCTCTTCAGGCGCAGGTGAGGGAGATCGAGAGGGGATGGGTGTCGGTTCCGGCTCGGTTTGGATCTCCATCTCGACTGTGACGCGCGGGAGAGGTGCCTCCGTCTGTACCTCGGTAACGGCCTTCGGAGGCTCGTCCGTCTGAACGCTGAAAGACGCCTTCGGTACCACAGGTTCCGGTACCGTCTGCGTCGAGTGCGTCGCCTGGAAGAAAGCGGGGTCGTATTGCGTGTAAGCGTCGACAAGTTCACGCTCATCCAAGTGCGAGAGCGTCGTGGGTTGCAACATGTTGGCCTTGCTCATACCCCGCTGAAAGAGAGCGTCAGTGTCGACTCGCCCATGTCAAGTATATCGTGAGACTAACCTTCTTCTTGCGCGTGATGATGGTCTGGATGACATCTTCGTCGTCCGAACTTTCCGCCTCGACCTGAATGTCCTGGATGGTTGTGCTGTGCGCGTCGTCATCCTGGATCCAGTCTTCTCCATCCTGCATCTTGCTCAGCAGCTCCGCACCCAGACTCTTCGACACGCTCCCAGGTACGCTTGAAGTTCCCGCCTGCGACGTGCCACCGTGCTGTCCAGAACGCAACTCGTCCAGATCGAAGCGCAAACGGTCGATGGTCTCCTTCAGGTTCATGTTCTCGTGCTTCTGGTCGTCGAGCGAGCGCTGAGTGTCTTGCGCTACTTCGATGTCGCGCTCGAGCATGGAGATACGCTCTTCGTACTGCTCGCGCTCTTTGCCCCATTTGGTTTGTTCGAGCTCCATGAGACCGAACTGGCCGGCGAGGTCGCGGAGTTGCTCATCCTTACGGCGCATCTGGTTACGCAAAGACTCGGACTCGGCTGCAACAGAAATGAGTCTCGAAAAAGGACTTGCGAGGAATGCGTTGACACATACCGAGCTGCTCCTGATACTGCTTCTGGAGGTTATTATATGCCTGCCGGGAAGAATCCAGGTTCTTCTGAAGCTTGGAAATCTCGTTCTCCAGCGCCGATATCTGTTGAGAGCTCGAACGCTACGCGATGTCAATCAGTATTCGTGCCCTTGCGCTTGAGATAAGAGACTTACATCCTTGCTTCTCAACTCCTTCTCCTCCCTCTTCGTCGCGGCCAACTCCGCCCACGTCTCCTCCAGCTTGGCCTGCATCTCCTCCAAATCCGCCTCGTGATTGTTCAGCCTGTTTTGCAACAGCCTCTCGCTCTCGATGAGCTTCTTGCTGAGTTCGTTGTTCGCCTTCTGGAGCACATCCATGCGCTCATCCGCCTCCATAGATATAGTCGACGACCGTGCCGAACGGTCCATGACCAGGCCCATAGCGGTGACATCCTCGTCTTCTTCCTCGTCATACCCGTTCTCGGCGTGAGGCATGGGCAATGAAGAGACTTGATCTTGGAAGGCGTCATATACCGACCGAGCGAGGTCGAGGTGAGCGGGTGATTTTCGCTCGTCGCGGTCGGATGATGCTCGGGGTGTAGACAAGACGTTCTGAGGTTGAGATTGGGTGCGGGAGTGCGGACGCGAGTAGACTTCACCGCCTGGAGGAGAGCTGAGACCATACTCGTCGTCGGACTGGTCGCGCTGTTGGGATGGGGTACGTTTGCCACGGCCACCGGTTGAAGAGCGGAAAGAAGAAGGCGCGCCAGACTGCATGGGTAAAGAGTCGTCAGCATCATCGAGATATGACAAGTTGACAGAACTATGCTTCAGGAATAAAGCAAGCCGGATTCGGACTGTTGCACACGGACTTTGCCGACTTGACCGCGAAGGTCGCGCAACTCCCCCGACGTGATGTCTGTCTGATGGCGAAGTGTATAGAGTTGACAATTACCTCATTATCACTCAAGCTCTTCCTCCGTGCTGGTGCTATCGGCCGCCTCGCCCAACTAGACGGTGCTGCTGCCCCCAATGGTGTGGTGCGCTGCCTCTTCTGGGCGTCAAATGGCGAGGGTGGCACGGCCGGCCCGCGACTGGGCGGTCGGCTTCCATGATAGTAGGTGCCATCAGAGCCGGCGCTTGACGAGCGGGATTGACGCCCGGCCCGCTCGTCCTCGCGTCCGCGCGGCTGTTCGCCGGCGGGAGAATGCTGTTCAGGGCTCGACGCGCTGCGCTGCGCCACGACCTGAAGCAGCATCGCGGGCGTCGCCTCCAGTCCAGGGGTGTTTTGCACGAACGCGACCATCTGGTCCATCTCCTCTCGCGTCAAGAGTTCGATCCCGGTTTGGTGCTGGTATGTCTCGAATACATCGGGCAGACAATTCGCTGGCAGCACCCATTCCTTATTCACGTTCTCGTATGCGTCCGGGTGGCCCTCGAAGATCTCCGTCAGGTCTTGCTCGATGTCTGCTATCGACTGTCGGTGCCGACCATACATGGTGTCTACCTGAAACAGTCGCGTTAGCACAACACTCATGGAACGCGTCAGGCGAGTAACGCACAGTATCAGCCATGGTCGCTGGCTGTACTTGCGATGGGAGTGTTTGTAGTAGGGAGGGTCGTTGTGGTAGTGGTGGTACGTGGTGAGGTGTTCAAAGTGCCAACGGTTCAATTGCGCGACTCAACTGTTCCCGAGCCGTGGTTGATGGGGCTGACGTAAGAACATTGCGGCACTTGTGGCTCGTGGCATCGGGTCGATATATTCCCACGCTCAATAAAACAATGCATTATGTCCGTATTCTCTTCAGCTTGCCTACAAGAGGTTCAGGCAGTCAGAAAGTAAATTCAGTGGTTCTATGGTGCTGCTTCATGAGACTGGGTACGTTTCCATGATACGCGGTCTAACTGACAGCCTACAGGTCGGTGTGAAAACATGGGGTACAACAATGGAGATACAGGTTGTCGAGTCGACTAGCAGCGTTACCAGAACGCCTCAACACAGCTACGAGTCCACAAAGATGTATCCTGAGCACCTCATCCACGTCCGTCAGCGGTCAGCGCAAGCCGGACAACAATATTTATCGTCCCATCGCCTCGGGTTTGTCCTGCACCTCTTACACGCCTTTAGCCCATATCGCTGCATCCCTTCCCTATGGACCCATCAGCCGAGTTTCACAGCGTCAGCAGCAGCTGAACAAGACGTACTTCATATGCTCGTGCCCGCACCACTCGATACACCCGCCCAAACTCGGTATCCTCGCCACAAGCCTCCCACAATCTCTCATCCTGCAGTAGTTCGGATCTGGACGCCCTGCGGGTTCAGCCGCAGCTGGAACGTCAGTCACTACAGCGTCTCATCTTCATAGATAGAGAATGTACCCACTTTTGTGGAAGTTCGTCTTCAAAGAGCTGCTGGCGGCGTTCGGGCTCGAGCGCGGTTGGATGTACGAAGCGTCTAGGGCGGGCGTGCTCTGAGTGCCGATCGGCGCGCCTGTTGGTACAGGAATAGTTGATGCTAGACTGGCGTTATGCGCCAGCGCTTCGCCGATCGACTCTATAGCGGGAACATCAGGACTACAGCCGAGTGCGTGCAACGGGTATTCACGCACTCTTGTGCACATGGATGTGCGCCTTCTCCAGCCCGCGTCGTACGCCCGCGCGGAAGCCGTGCGTCTTGACCTGATGCTGACTATTGAGTTGCGCATAGTACAGGAGTGGTGGAGTCGAGGAGAAGCTCTCGAAGCTTGGTCTCTGGTGTTCTGCGAGGTTGGGTGCGGGTGGATGTGGAGGGGAGGTTGGCCCGTTGTAGTACAGCTCCTCGATATCGGAAGTCGGAAGGGAGTTGTCGCTGTGATAGGCTTGAGGGTAAACGTATGGCACTTGCGGAGACTGGCACATAGAGGTCAGTATATGTATCATGAGGAGATGACCTGGACAGTGCTCACAGAATCGTGCTCCGGCATGCCCAGTGGTGCAATGTCGCGATCGTGCTGCTCCGGCCCGGTCGAGAAGGGATATGGGTGTGATGGGTGCGACGCTTGAGGGCTGTAGGTATATTGTCCCAGCTGAGAGTCGTGGTCCGGCGGGTGCGTGTAAGCATGCGCCATAGCAGGGGCGTAAGGATAGCCAGCGGACTGCACGGCCTCTTGAGAGCGCGAAGGCATGGCTAGTGGTGGGTAGACCGGTGACATGACGCTGATGAACCCGCCTGGGACGTCGAAGGACATGCTGTCGTGCTGGTGCTGCTGGTATGCTGCCGGCTTGCAGCGGTGCAATCGATGCTATACCTTATATGTAGCAGCTTGAGCTCGACTCGCACGACAACGCGTGTACCACACGAGGCGTCGTCGAGGCGAGCAGGTGCGATTAGGCCACATCGTATGTAGGAGCGTCAATCACTCGCCCCTTCATACTCGCAGCTAAGAAAGGCTTCTATGATTCGCATTCATGGCATTTATCAAACGAGATGCGTCGACTCATGAAGACATGCGGACGACAGCTGGAGGGAGAAGTCTCCAGGTCGTCTCATGTAGGCCACACGGGAGAGCACGGGAGAGCACGGGAGAGCACGGGAGAGCACAGGAGTCGACTACGAGCGATATATGAGATTGCGGCGCATTCGCCCACTATAGACGGATCTACGTGAGCAGTCTTCCGAGCGCCCATGCCAGGTTCAGGGAAGATGCGTAGCGCTCGTGATGGTTCAAGACAACTTCGCGTGAGAGCAAGCGCGCAGAATGCGGCTCGCGACGGACCGCGACGCGACGCGTTGTTCGCGTCTTCGCTGGTGACCAC